TGGGGGAGGGGGGAAGGGTGGGACGGGGGACAAGCGGACGGGAGAAGAGAGGGGGCAGTGGGAACGGATGGGGGGAGGGGGATGAGGGGAATCAGAGGGAAAGGTAAGGGACGGGTGGAGGAGGTGGGCTGCCGTATGAGAACGGTGACCGCGGGATCAGAGGCACTGGGGAAGGAGTGGTTGGGTGAGTTGATTGGGCACGTGGCGTGGCCACGTAGGGAAGAGGGGGTGATGGGTGGATGGGAGAAGGATCCGTGTGCGGGTTTTGCCGCGGATGCGCGGGGTATGGAAAATGCTCGGGAGGGGGTCTATACCGCCTTAAATGGAAAACTCGTTTGATTTTATGCACTCTCCTCTGGCCATGCAGGATTGGGTTACGCTCGAAAACGAGTGCCCGTATTTGGCTGCTACAGTTACGCGTCAAGTTTTATCCGCTGAAGCCAATGGTAGTATGCTGTCGAGCGGCACCAATTCGATTCCAAGCCAGCACGATCCGGTGCCAAGCAAAAGATCACGAATGTCATGAGCCAGGTACGGTGGAATTTTATGGTCGTAAGTCTTCCGGGGTTTTTTTTCCACGATTTTATAGCTGGTACTGTGGAAAAAAGCACATAAGTTTCAGGCACTTGATAAGTTAGAGAACAAATGGGATTTTATCTTCATAAAAATAAAGATGTTAAAATTTAAATTAATATAAATTGAATTAAATAACTTAAATGAAGTCAGTGATTTAATGGTATAGAGAAAAAATCACGTAAGTTTTAGGCACTTGGTAAATTAGAGAACAAATGGGATTTTATCCTCATAAAAATAAAGATGTTGAAGTTTGAATTAACATAAATTGACTTAAATAACTTAAATTAAACCAATAATTTAAATTAAGTCAACAACTTGAATTGAGTCATTTAAATCAGCCTAATTAACTTTAAGTTAAATTATTAAGTCAAATTAAGTCAATTAAGTTAAAAATATATATTTTCAGTCCAAAAAATATATAGTTAAGTCAAAAATCAAAATAAATTAAGTCAAAAATATCAAATAAATGAAAATTAACTTAAAAGTTGTCTAGGCCGTCAAGTAATATTTTCACATCTTTAAGTTATTTTTTTTATGCCGCTGACTTCAGAATCGCAGAGGACATTGTGCTTATCGCAGAAAACGCGCACATTGCAAATTTTGTAAGCAATTTTTTGTACAATGCGAAGAAAATTGAATTTCTGACACATGGGAAAAATCAGGTGGAATTGTTTGAAAATAATGTTCAAAAATCAAGAATTCAAAAACAGTCATACTCAAGAAGAATAGTATTGTTCAAATCGTACTATTCAAAAATAATCATACTCAAGAATTCGTCTTTTGAGGTGATGGAAGTTTATGGAGTTAGGCTGGTCATGTTGCATGAATGAGAGAAAACAGGTGGACAATGCTGATTACTGAATGGTGGGCAGGATGAACGATTGTAAAAAGTGAATAAGAGCGATGCAGAATAACGGTTGGAGGTTCCCAGCTGCATCAGTGTTTAGAAAAATGTGAGGATGAAACAACAGCTAATCAAAATGTTCAAAATAATAATAACAAAAGTAGTAAAAATAACAGTATTAATAAAAATAACAGTAATGATAAAAATAATAATAATGATAATAGTAATAGGAACAATAATAAAAATAGTAATAACAGTAATAATAATTGTAACAGTAATAGCAATAATAATAATAATAATAATAATAATAATAATAATAATAATAAT